GAAGTCTTCAATAGTAACCGGAGTATGTGCACATGCCTTGACGTGGAACTCGAGGTCAGTCTGTCATAACCGATAGCAATGTGTACTTGGACTTGGTCTCAGTGGGAGTAGGTGTAGAGAACGTCATCCCCTTGACATCAAGGTAGCAAGCGTCGACTGTAGCCGTGATATTGAAGGTCTGCTTCTGAGCATTGAATATGAGGTGCCCATGTACACTTGGGACGCTGCTGACGTATACCCCATCAGGCAAAGGAATAGCCTTCAACGGAGGGGTCTCGATGGCGACCACGAAATTTACGCAGAACGATGCAAGGAGGATGGAAGCGAACTGCACCATAGTGGGGGAGGACAATGGAGTGGACTGGAAACTGAGAAGGGTATCTGACGTTTGACCTAGAAGCCAAACGTGGGTGGAACTTCCACCGTGAAAGTGTTAGATAGAGAAGCCATTGATTAGAAGTGATAACATGGGATGGAGCCGTCACGTGTGCAGCTTATAAGGGTAGTACGTTTGGGAAAAAACAGACAAAGCCTTTGTCACAAAGGGTACTGATGTCTATCTCAAGTTCGTCAATTAACGGGGAAAGTGCTGAGGGCGCGGACCACAACTGTATTTATAGTTATTCCATCACGGAGAGAGATATCACTGTAAGGGGCTCACCTTAAGTTCCATCTAGGCGTATGGTACACCGTGTATGCACAGCGCCTGTAGGGGCGATGAACACACAGTGTTCATCCATTGTGTGTTCGACCTTCACGCACGTCAGTGCGTGTAACGCGTGTATTGTGCGTGTCCCCTGGAACACGCATTGGCCATCAAGGGATATAATGAAGCTTTTGGCAAAACAAGTGGTCCACACCATGATACCGGCGCGAGACGACATGAGTGGAAACTCAGCGGAAACGAGAGTCGCTAATGTGATTTTACGAAATCAACATGGTGCGGAAACGTGAGTCCTAAACAGGACTGTAGCGTCGGCTGGCTCAAATCCGGGAATGACTGGTGGAAAATCAACCTCTCCGCCCCTCAAATATGGGGTCTCAAATAGGTTATGCGAGTTGGACATCAAAAGGGAGAAAGTGAGAGGCTGCACAGGAGGATATAGGGTCATAACCCGTCATAGCGCCGGAAAGATCTGGCGAACCATGTCTTATGGAAGTGGGTACAACGAACAGGACCGATTGGGCATGTATCACCGGCATCGGCGTGACGATATTGCGCGCGTAAAAAACACTTAGGGAGTCCCTTGGAGTGTGGATCGACACATAGTCATCCCTGGTAGGAGTCGGGTTTTACATTGCAGTATCCGTATAGGAATCGTGGTTACGATGTATTATGACATGAGATGCCCTTGACCAGTTGTATATGCGTTAATCCTACTGTACCACCGCTAAGCTCCGCGTTGTGAGTCAATACTTGCACACAATACCCTTGGGTGTGCCCCAGGTTAACGTGTACCCAAAGAACTCTCACAACCTCTACAGTGAAGGCCCTTCATTCTCGAATGGCAGTCCTTCATTAACTATTCGAACAGAAGCCAACGGGAGGAAGGAAACCGATGCGTTGATTCAGGGAACTTATTCGTCATGCATAACAACTTGAGTGGGCCATGATCCGAATTTATCATTCCACTCGATATACTCCTCAAGCTTAGCATCGCTGGCATGACTGTGGGCAAGCGCATCGTCGAGATCAGCCTTGACCAGCGGTCGAGGAATAACATTAGAATATTCCTCCTCGTCACCCGATGATACAATTTTGGCCAAGGCTTCCCGTATGGGTACCTAGGAGTACCATCAAAATCACGATACAAGTTCGCCCAAGGCAGAGCTTTAAGTATAGCGAGTCCTCATGACTCGGTAAAATCGCCCAGTTGAGTTTATGCCTCATACTAAAGTAGTTCGTCGCTATCAGAATCTGATGCCCTACTATCGCAGCGGCGCACATCAACTGTTTGATGTCACTCCCAGAATATCCCTCGGTACTCTCTGACACTCGATGTATGACTTCTTCATTGAGACCGGCTGGTGTCTCAGTCGATATGCTAGCATGATGTAGATCCAGTAACCTGGTGATTAGATACTTCCGAGCTCCTATGCCGGGCAGCGGGGTGTACCTGATCGCACCAGCTGGGCATCACCTAAACTGCATTCACCATAACTGTAACACTACTGTAACTGTATCACTATATCATCTATAACTATATAACAGCATTTGTGTTACGTGTCAATGCTATGGGCTTCGTGGAACGATCATATCCAGTGAGGGCCAAATCAAAGAGAATCATGATCTTCTTGTTAGATACCCTACAGCTTTTTGGGGAATCTCCTCAATGCGGCAGCGTCAATCTGCCAGGGTAGATTGGTCGCTCCAAGGAAGAGTATTCGAGACTCGGGTCTGCTGGTGATACCATCCAGAGCGGCAAGGAACTCATTCTTTAATCGTCTCGTGGACTCGTGGTCCCCTTCGGATCTTGCACCGAGAATACTATCTACCTGCAAAATGATGTGGAATAAACGCAGCAGCTGCTAGTCGAGTGGTGTGATGTGAGATAGCCGCAACATATCGATGAGGGGAGCATGACGTGATCCATCATCGGCTCCATGGTATTGATGTTTTACCTCATCAATGAATATGACTGTTGGTTGGTAATGATCAGCCACTTGGAATAAGGTATTCACCATTTTCTCACTCTCCCCTATCCATTTCGAGAAAAGAATTGATGCCGACACGTTTATGAAAGTGGCATTCACTTTAGAGGCTATCCATCGTCCCAACATGGTCTTGCCGGTACCTCATAACAACAGGCATTCAACCTGGGGTGGGGTTAGAGCGATGGACATGCAATCGCGATAGAGGAACATACGGGAGTGTTATCCGAGTGTCTTCATCATTTCAAAACTTCAAACCAAGTCAGGTGTCCTTATATGTGACAACTCAGCCCCACCATTCATAGGAACCATTCGACGGATCATTCGGCTACCGGTGCCCTGAGACATGCTACCGGGTGGTCCAAAGAGAAGTATGCCTCTTGGTGGTCTTGTCAAAGGGGAAGTGAAAAGCTGCGGGAACTTCTGTGGCATTATCAGTACTTCGGTGATTGTTTGTTTTGCGAACTTCAAACCTGCCAATGGTACACTCATCATCTGCAGGTGATCGAAAGAGCTCACCAGCAATATCCTCATCTCGAATGATGTTGCCTTCAGAAGGGCTCACTCGCAGTGCCTCGATCGCCTCCACCATCTCAGGTTGCAAATGGTCCAGGGATGACTCTGATACAACCCACATCACTCCTACGGAAGTCTAGTTACCAACCTCTCATGCTGCCCTCATCAGTGTTACCCTCTCCTGATTTCGACCTAATCAACCGTGTAGACTCGAAGAGCTTCCTCCTCTCGATGCGTAGCAATTTACCCCTTATTCAGCTGCCCACCACCACCATGAGCTCTCCCTGTAATCACCCTCGATAGTATACTATCAGTAGCTTCTCCTTCTCTA